AAAAAAAAAAAACAACAACCAAAAAAAAAACAACAACCAACAACAACCAACAACAAAAAAAACCCCAAAACAAAGCAAAGTCTTCAATTCTTAATATGGTCACAGCTCGGTATATAGCATCATTAATGTGGTAAAACCCTCTGACCCACTTACCGTTGGCAATGTAACACATTTTGACCCACTTAACGTCGTTGGTAATGTGCTAACACACATGGTAACCAGAGTCGCCACGTGATGTGGACAGAAAAAAAAAGAACCAACTATGTCAACATTGAACGCATGGGGAACAAAACCGAAACGTGGCGGGGGGGGGGGCTCCAAAAGTCACGCGACGGCTCTGTTGGTTCCACACAAGGCTTCCACTCACCCTGGTTGCTGATATTGTTTCTGGGCCCCAGCAAGTTCCTCCTGGGCGTGACACGGGCCAGCAGATACGAGCCGTAGGAGCCGTACATCGTTCTGAGCCGTACATCTCGCCTCTCTTGCGTCTCATCGCCTGTGGGTTGGGTGAAGATCGGGGAGACACCGTGCCATTAGAGTACATCATTGGGAGACACCATGGCATTAGCGTACATTATTGGGTGACACCATGGCATTAGCGTGCATTATTGGGAGACACCATGGCATTAGCGTTCATCATTTGGAGACACCATGGCCTTAGCGTACATCATTGGGAGACACCATGGCATTAGCGTACATCATTGGGAGACACCATGGCATTAGCGTACATTATTAGGAGACACCATGGCATTAGCGTACATTATTGGGAGACACCATGGCATTAGCGTACATCATTGGGAGACACCATGGCATTAGCGTACATCATAGGGAGACATTACGGCCTCAACATACATCATTGGGAGACACCATGGCATTAGCGTGCATCATTGGGAGACATTACGGCCTCAACATACATCATTGGGGGACATGATGGCATCAAAATATATCATTGGGAGACATGATGGCATCAAAATATATCATTGGGAGACATGATGGTATCAAAATATATCTTTGGGAGACATGATGGCATCAAAATATATCATTGGGAGACATGATGGCATCAAATATATCATTGGGAGACATGATGGCATCAAAATATATCATTGGGAGACATGATGGCATCAAAATATATCATTGGGAGACATGATGGCATCAAAATATATCATTGGGAGACATGATGGCATCAAAATACATCATTGGGAGACATGATGGCATCAAGATATATCATTGGGAGACATGATGGAATCAACATGCATCCTTGTGAGATATGGTTACATCAACATACATCATTGGGAGACATGGTGGAATCAAATTGTGATTTCGACGAGAGGCTACCATCAACATTCAAGACTACCATTACAATGTAATGCTATATCTCAACATATAGCTACCATCACAACATAAGGCTACCACCACAACATACGACTACCAACACAAAATAAGGCTACCAACACAGCATTCAAAGAGAGGTCCGCTGGGACGAGCATATTAACAATGTATGTAACCAAGCAAACAAAGCCTTGGGGTTCTTAAGGCGAAATCTAAAGATTGGCAACTCCTGTGTGAAAGAAAGAGCATATAAAGCCTTTA